CGAAGAAAGTTGCACTGTGGCTTACAAACTGTGCAATTTTCAATTCATTTACGGTTTTCAAAAAGGTGAACAGAAATTCTACTTTGAAATACAAAGCATTTCTGTTGAAACTGGCAAAAGCTTGGGCTACTGACGTCACGATGGCGGCAGTACCTGCGTCAGACACAGATGTAGTGCAGCCGGAGGCCTCAAGTAGACCCCCCTGGCCGACTCTCGGGTGATATGCGGAAACATATTCTCGTGAAAATTGTGAAGAGTGAATATTGCAAGAAGAAACACCCTTCTAGGCAGTGCCGTGTGTGCGTAGAGCACAAGAAGAAGAGTAGAACTGCCTACATGTGCAACTTCTGCGTAATGCCTCTTCACAAAGGGGAATGTTTCCAGAGATATCACAAGCGCAAGCACTTCTAGGAGCTCTGGTAAGTGTTCTCCAAAAATTTCAGTTCATAAAATCAATTAGGAGATTTTATATTAATTTTTAAAGTGAACAGTGCACAAGTTAGGGTAGTAGGTTTAAAAACGCTGGTCCCCAGGGTGGTTTAAATGTTTAAACCACCGGTCCGCAATGTGTTAAGAGGGTAGAGTTCATTAGTGATAGGATGTCAGACATAGTACTAAGAGGTTCCTGGTGTGATATCATTCTGAATGTTGATGTCCCAACAGAGGATAAAATTGATGATTTGAAGGAAAGGTTCTATGAAGAACTAGAACATGTATTGGATAAATTCCTGATATGAAAATTTTGTTAGGAGATTTCAATGGCAAAGTAGGAAGGGAAGACATTTTCAAACCAATGATTGGGAATGAGAGTTTGCATGAAATTAGTAATGATAACGGAGTTAAAGTCGTAAACTTTATCGCAACAAAAATCTTACTGTCAAAAGTACAATGTTCCCACATCGTAACATCCATAAATTTACTTTGACATCTCCTGATGGGAAGATACACAGTCAAATAGACCATATTTTGATAGATAAGAGATGGCACTCAAGTATACTTGATGTCTGATCATTCAGGGCAGCAGACTGTAATACTGACCACTACCTTGTGGTGGTAGAGGTTAGGGAAAGACTGGCAGTGAGCAAACAAACAACGCACACAGTTCATATGGAGAGGTTCAATCTCAAGGAATTAAATGAGGTAGAGGGTAAAGAGCAATATTATGTTGAAATCTGAAATAGGTTTGTGGCTTTGGAAAACTTGGACACTGAGGTTGATGTTAATAAAACTTGGGAAACTATTAGAGAGAATATAAAAATGTCTGCCAAAGAGAGTCTAGGTTATTATGAACTGAAGAAGCATAAGTCATGGTTTGATGAAGGATGATCAGAATTATTAGGAGAAAGGAAACTAGTCAAATTGCGATGGTTACAGGATCCAAGCAAAATAAACGGCAGTAGTCTGAACAGTATAAGACATGAAACCAGCAGGCATTTCAGGAATAAAAAGAGGGAATATCTGAAAGACAAAATTGATGAGCTTGCAAGGAAGAACAAGAACATTAGAGACCTGTATAGAGGAATAAATGACTTTAAGAGGGGTTACCAGCCTAGCAGTAACTTAGTGAAGAATGAGAATGGTGATCTGCTTGCAGATTCCCACAACATTTTGAATAGGTGGAGGAACTACTACTTTCAGTTATTGAATGTACATAGGGTCAGTGATGTTAGGCAGACAGAAATCCATACAGCTGAGCCGTTAATACCTGATCCTAGCCCATTTGAGGTTGAAAGTGCTATTGCAAAATTGAAACGGTATAAATCACCAGGTAGTGATCAAATTCTGGCAGAACTTATTCGAGCNGAGGCCTCAAGTAGACCCCCCTGGCCGACTCTCGGGTGATATGCGGAAACATATTCTCGTGAAAATTGTGAAGAGTGAATATTGCAAGAAGAAACACCCTTCTAGGCAGTGCCGTGTGTGCGTAGAGCACAAGAAGAAGAGTAGAACTGCCTACATGTGCAACTTCTGCGTAATGCCTCTTCACAAAGGGGAATGTTTCCAGAGATATCACAAGCGCAAGCACTTCTAGGAGCTCTGGTAAGTGTTCTCCAAAAATTTCAGTTCATAAAATCAATTAGGAGATTTTATATTAATTTTTAAAGTGAACAGTGCACAAGTTAGGGTAGTAGGTTTAAAAACGCTGGTCCCCAGGGTGGTTTAAATGTTTAAACCACCGGTCCGCAATGTGTTAAGAGGGTAGAGTTCATTAGTGATAGGATGTCAGACATAGTACTAAGAGGTTCCTGGTGTGATATCATTCTGAATGTTGATGTCCCAACAGAGGATAAAATTGATGATTTGAAGGAAAGGTTCTATGAAGAACTAGAACATGTATTGGATAAATTCCTGATATGAAAATTTTGTTAGGAGATTTCAATGGCAAAGTAGGAAGGGAAGACATTTTCAAACCAATGATTGGGAATGAGAGTTTGCATGAAATTAGTAATGATAACGGAGTTAAAGTCGTAAACTTTATCGCAACAAAAATCTTACTGTCAAAAGTACAATGTTCCCACATCGTAACATCCATAAATTTACTTTGACATCTCCTGATGGGAAGATACACAGTCAAATAGACCATATTTTGATAGATAAGAGATGGCACTCAAGTATACTTGATGTCTGATCATTCAGGGCAGCAGACTGTAATACTGACCACTACCTTGTGGTGGTAGAGGTTAGGGAAAGACTGGCAGTGAGCAAACAAACAACGCACACAGTTCATATGGAGAGGTTCAATCTCAAGGAATTAAATGAGGTAGAGGGTAAAGAGCAATATTATGTTGAAATCTGAAATAGGTTTGTGGCTTTGGAAAACTTGGACACTGAGGTTGATGTTAATAAAACTTGGGAAACTATTAGAGAGAATATAAAAATGTCTGCCAAAGAGAGTCTAGGTTATTATGAACTGAAGAAGCATAAGTCATGGTTTGATGAAGGATGATCAGAATTATTAGGAGAAAGGAAACTAGTCAAATTGCGATGGTTACAGGATCCAAGCAAAATAAACGGCAGTAGTCTGAACAGTATAAGACATGAAACCAGCAGGCATTTCAGGAATAAAAAGAGGGAATATCTGAAAGACAAAATTGATGAGCTTGCAAGGAAGAACAAGAACATTAGAGACCTGTATAGAGGAATAAATGACTTTAAGAGGGGTTACCAGCCTAGCAGTAACTTAGTGAAGAATGAGAATGGTGATCTGCTTGCAGATTCCCACAACATTTTGAATAGGTGGAGGAACTACTACTTTCAGTTATTGAATGTACATAGGGTCAGTGATGTTAGGCAGACAGAAATCCATACAGCTGAGCCGTTAATACCTGATCCTAGCCCATTTGAGGTTGAAAGTGCTATTGCAAAATTGAAACGGTATAAATCACCAGGTAGTGATCAAATTCTGGCAGAACTTATTCGAGCAGGAGGCGAAATATTACATTCTAAGATCCACAATCTAATTACTTCTATTTGGCATAAGGATAAATTGCCTGATCAGTGGAAGGAGTCTATTATTGTACCAGTTCACAAAAAGGGTCATAAAACTGACTAGTAATTATCGGGGGATATCAGTGCTATCAACTTCATATAAAATTTTGTCCAATATTCTTCTCTCAAGGTTAAGTCCATATATAGGTGAAATTTTGGGGGATCATCAGTGTGGGTTTTGACGCAACAGATCAACTACAAATCAGATCTTTTGCATTTGTCAGATATTGGAGAAAAAATGGGAGGATGATGAGACAGTACATCAGCTATTCATAGACTTCAAGAAAGCCTATTGTTCAGTTAGGAGGGAAGTATTGTACAATATTCTGAAAGAGTTTGGGATACCCATGAAACTAGATAGGTTGATTAAAATGTGTTTAAATGAAACATATAGTAAAGTCCGTGTAG